TTAATAGAAAATATAATTTAAATATTTTGGTAGAAGATCACCCAAGGGCCACATTAAAGGTCTTGGAGGGCCGGATCTGGCCCCCGGGCCTTATGTTTGACACCTGTGTTCTAAACACATTCAGGAAAGGCTCATTTCCGTCGTGTGACTTTTTTAGTATCGATACCTGCTCAAATTTAGTGTCTAGTTTCATTAAAAGTATCTTTGCGATACTTTTGACAACCCTACACTAGTATTAATTCTAGTTTCTCAGGCTGCTACCGCCAAATTGAAAATGACTACACATTTACAGATACAGATACACATTTTCTACCATGAACACCCACTCGTAACTAAATGAATTGCGTCTTCATTCCGAGTTTTTACAATTCTAAGAGTGTATTTCTGTTGCTCCTCCGAGTCTGGGGCTTTGGACGAGTCATGGAAAGTTAGTCGTGCGTTTGTTGTTATTTTTTGCATTAATGGCTCTTCTGTGCGGAGGGAGACTAATTAGCTTATCGTTGAAAGGGAGTTAAAAAGTGCTCCCAGTGGGAACCTCAGCATGTTAAATCAATGAGGATTTGTGCAGCTGCTACACAAATGGGCCGCGCTGGTCTGAGCTAATGCAGGCCCGACTGATGGAGCCTGATGGATGGACTCAGATTGTGCTGTGACCAATGCTAAAGCACACGGAAGCTGGAAAATAGCTTTGCATGTTTGGGTGGTTAACGGGGCGGTGCAATTTATCGCATTGCAATAGTCATAACTGCTGCAGTCAATTCTAAAAACACTGTAATGAAAAACAAATGAATAATAATAATAATAATGTATTAGTCTTACAGTACATAGTGTTTTTCCAGATGCTCAAAGTCGCTTTACAACTTTGCATTATTCATTTACTTTAAATGATGATGGTAAACTACTACTACTACAACTACAACAACTACTACAACTACTACTACAACTACTACAACAACTGCAACTACTACAACTACAACAACTGCTACTACTACACCAGTCCTTCTTAAAGGTTGTATAGAGGATTTTTTTTAAGGGAAGAGAAATACAGCGACAGTCCTTGTGCGCATTCAGAATTAGTGTTGAAGTTACCTGTTTAGAAGTAATTCAGCGACCGACGCGTCAGTTTTTAGACCCTTCGTCTGCTTCGGTCGCTCCATCGCTGGACGAGATCTCCAAGAATCACCTCAGTTTGGCTTTGCAACTTTTCCCCCTTCTCTTCTTCTTTCAGTGACCTCAAAAAAACGGACTTTCTTTTGGGGCGAACCGGTCGTGGATTCTCGTCCGCCGTCACGACAAACTTTGTGTGAATTGCGAGGAAGCGACAGTTCGAAAAAGCCTCTAAGAACCGCTGCGTAAACCACGTAATCCCCGCGCTCCGACGAGTCAGTTATACTAGGGAGTTTGATTGACAACTCAACAGCCAATAGAAAATGAGGGAGCCTCGTTTTCTATTGGCTGATGTTTATCTGGCCTCAACACGTCCACAGTTGATAGATTTTCATTTATTTATTTTTTGGTCATCATAATTACAAAGCTCTGCGTAATGATATTTTAATCTTTCACTGACAGTTTGAAACTAAAAAAAATCCTCCATACAACCTTTAAATAGTGGAGCGGTGCTATAAATGAGGTGTTGGGAAGGAGACAAACTTCTGACCTCAGAAATGGCAGTTAACCGGACGCCAGAGCACACTTCAGCACTCTTTATTGATGTATATGACAGGTTCATGGTTGATTCATGGTTGCTATAAAGACAGAAATTAAATACTACGAGTAATGAAGAAAATGAAGCAATTATATAAATGTCCATTGATAATTATGACATTAATAATGTAAATATTTCAATAAAGAAATACGAATATACACAAGTAAAAATGCAAAGAAAGACCTAAATTAAACCTATTTACAGTGATACAATGTGAACACTGATGACGGCCTGATAATGTTTCTCACCAAAAACTGAAAATTCCCTTGAATGCACCACGGGTGGAAATAGGATACGGGGACAATGTAAATGTTGACTGGACAGTGAATGCATCATGAGGCAAATTCAGGCATATTATGGAGAAAGTGGATTAACAGAAATGAGACATTGTAATGAAAAGACTTACATTCTCATCGACGCATGAACGCATCTTCAAGGTCATTAAGCACAACCAGAACTAATACATAAGGCACACTGTTCATTTTTGAGAAAATTAAAGGATTTTAAGTGCACCTTATTGTCCAAAAAATACCGTACTAACTAAGCCCTGCTTAGCTTCTGAGATCTGATGAGATCAGGCTTTGACAAGGACAAGAAGGTTTGGCCAAAACAACAACACATCAAACTATTAATCAAAGTGGCTGCTTTTATGAACTACAAAATATGAATCACCAAGTTTTAAATAGTTGTATGTTTATCTGTTTCTTTCACTCACCAGTTAGTTCTACTTTTTTTTTTTTTTCAATCCAATCTAGTTTGATTTGTATAAGCACACAACATCAATAAACACAATCCCGGGTCGGACTAAGAGCGGTTCAGGAGCCTTTTATGATGAGCACCACATCAAGACCAATTATGTCGCTCAAATTGGTGTCACCGGGGCCTCTCACCGGAAGAAGACCTGGGGTGGGTGCCTAACAGCGAGCCTCTGGTGACCGGGCCTTTCCCCACAGGGATAAATGCGGTGAAAATGCGTTTTCATTTGCAGGCACCACCAGAAACCAGTCACCAAATTTGAACTAAATGGCCTCCCTGTTAAAAGCGCTATTCACATGATACAATGGCCACTTCCTTTTTATGAGAACATTTTCTCCTTTAACTGGAGTTGTACCACATCAATGGGACTTTGAAGTTTTAAATTTATGTCATCTCGAGTTTCTGTGAACAGCCAAAGTGTTCTCAAAGTCTCCCCTTTTAATCCTCATCCACAAAAACACTGAACGTTTAGCCATCAAGGTGACTTTTTTGGGCGGTTTTGATCCCACTTGCTGACAGCCGTTTTCGTGCCAAAATGTTCACTGTACATAAGTGATATTCAATAGGTGTAATAAATCGAGCGCTATGGCAGGACTCTTTCTGCTTGTTCAATAGAAAAACATAAACTGAAGCTGGGAAGTGGGCAGTGTTTCAAAGCATCGGTCTAAGCTGTTATTAAGCTCTGTTAAATATTGTTGTGTAACCGTTTGGCCAGGACGGACAAATACTGACTGCAACATGTGATGGAAAAAGCCTGATTTCACTAATGTAATCACAAAAGATTATTTTTAGAGTATTATTATTTTTCCTCTTGTTGTTTCAATTGATACTTTGCAGTTACATCAGACTGAACATGAATGTGTACTGGCAGAATGTTCAGTTACCATGCACACAGTAGCAGTAAGATGAAACACAAAATGGATTTAAACAGCACATTTTCGGGAGCTTGTGATCAATTTGAAGGTTCACCCGGTCCTGAGAGAGACTTGTTTAACAGTAAAAATCTGCTCTTTCTGTTGCAGATCTTTCTGGTTAGATTATGTGTTAAAGACTGTGTTAAAATTAATCTCAGATTAAAGTGTAACAAATCTCAGACAGAACAGTGTCGACAGTTAGCACCACAATCCGGGAAGTTGATGACATCAGCTGCAAAGTATTAACATGTACCTACATCTGTTGTGTCTGTTTTAGCAGTAATGACAACAGAGATATTGCCTGTTCATACATATTAGGGATGAGCATTTGATGAAATTTTCTTAATCGATCGTCGGAAGAATTAACGATCGATTAATCATTAACATTAACATTTTATTTTAAAATTATCATCATTATTATTACTATCTGCACTACTAATCTGCATAAATAAATTCAACTTTACGACATATAAACCGTAACGACTCTAGAGCCACATCAGCCCGTTTGACATTATAATGTGTTTAATTCAGTTTTGTTCAACTCTCACAGAAACAAAACTTAAAACCGCATCGCTAATTTGCATAAACTAAGCGAAGATAAAACTACAGCTCTTGTGTCGCTGATGCGGTTCAAATTCTGTCGGATTAAAAGACATGACTCAGTGGAATACAGGTTAGTGTGACCAGATTTGCGTTTGTCAAAACCAGGACACCGTACGGGGGGAGGGAGGTTGGGACTCGTCATCGACATTGAGCGACTCTCACCTGGTAAAACTTTTTCCCACTGGACACCGAAACATATGTGCTGCTTTGTACACTGTGCACATGGACTCACACTTGTCCCGAACGCAACGGAAAGCCTGGAATTTCTTGTACAAATCATCGTTAAATACACATTTGTGCTTCGGTACGTTGCAGACTGACCCACTGTTTGTGTCTCGCTCCTTCTGATGCAGAGAGACACATGTACAGACCTGTTTGGTCACGATACACACAGCAACCTACATTCGGTTTGTCGATTAAAATTAACTTAATCAATGAAATTCTTAATGATCAATTATCGATTAATCGATCATGCCCATCCCTAATACATATATTAATCGTTTTTGTCAAATACTGGTCAAACATTTCCTCAAACAGAGAGTAACAATATTTAAATCAAATAAGATTGTATTGATAAGAACAAAAAGTATTTCATTTTGAATTTTGGTTTTTGGCAATCGAAAGTTAGGCTTGGAATTATTCTGAGCATCCTAATTCTTCAGTGTGATAAGTTTTTGTGTTTTGGTTCAATCAGAAAGCAGATTAAGCTTCACACTGTCGATTGCCATAAACTCACATAAATCCAAAAGTAATTCTTGTTGCTGCGTTCACTCTGTCTTGATTTGGTCCTTGTTTCATCTGTGGTTTAGTCCTGATGTGGAGTTGGTTTAATTTAGTTGGTTATAGAAAACTGTGGTGCCCAGTGGGAGCTGACGACACTGTAAACATCATCACAACAAAGAGCTGTGAAGTTGTCCGCCCCTCCAATGGATACCTGCAGCTGGTTAAATGCTCTGAATTGAATGAAGCTCCTCCTTTGACCCTGCTTACCTTTTACCCCCCCCTCTCTCTGTGTCCTGCAGGTACTCATTCCAGGATGAGGAGGACATGTTCATGGTGGTGGACCTTCTTTTGGGAGGAGACCTGAGGTACCACCTGCAGCAGAACGTGCACTTCTCCGAGAGCACCGTCAAACTGTACGTGTGTGAGCTGGCCCTGGCCCTGGGATACCTGCGCACCAAGAGGATCATCCACAGGTACCACTGCCTCAACTCATCTAAAGGACCTATATTACACAAAATGGATTCTTGTGAGCTTTAAGTCGTGTTATAATGCAGTTAACCCATCAAAAACAGACCTGGAGTTGTGTTTTGTCGCATTTACACAGGCTTGAGCAATACTGCATTATTTGGCTGTGTTATGTATTCAGTATTCTACCAGTTAAGTCAGTTGAGATCTAGCCTAATTCATCAGCCGGTTTCACTTCATGGAAACTGTCTGACCTCGCAGCATTAGGATTTGTTCGCTCAACAGTAGGCGGGTACTTTTTTTATTTAACCAATCGCTGCTATTTGGTTGTGATGTATGTAGTGCGCTGGAACACTCAGCGGTGTCTTTGAAAATCCTCGATCTCGGGAATCTTTGCCAACATAGACTGTCAGTCTTCGTCCACATCCATCTTGACTGTTTTGTTTACTGTTGTGTTCCACAAAAAGGGACCCAGACAGACACAACGAGTTTGACGTCATGTCTTCACAGCTTTTCGTTGATTGGCCGGTGTGCGGTCTACAACGTCCGGGGTTCTTGTAAACCGTCTAGTGTATTCTGATTTCTGACCTAGTCACTGGAGAGAAATGAGAGAATTGAGTAGAGGCAGTAGGTGGTAGGGATGGGCATTCGATGAAATTTTCTTAATCGATCGTCGGAAGAATTAACGATCGATTATCGATTAATCATTAACATTTTTATATTAAAATGATCATCATTATTATTACTATCTGCACTACTAATCTGCATAAATAAATTCAACTTTACGACATATAAACCGTAACCACTCTAGAGCCACATCAGCCCGTTTGACATTATAATGTGTTTAATTCAGTTTTGCGCAACTCTCACAGAAACAAAACTTAAAACCGCATCGCTAATTTGCATAAACTCAGCGAAGATAAAACTACAGCTCTTGTGTCGCTGATGTGGTTCAATTTCTGTCAGATTAAAAGACATGATTCAGTGGAATACAGGTTAGTGTGACCAGATTTGCGTTTGTCAAAACCAGGACACCGTACGGGGGGAGGGAGGTGGGGACTCGTCATCGACATTGCGCGACTCTCACCTGGCAAAACTTTTTCCCACTGGACACCGAAACATATGTGCTGCTTTATACACTGTGCACATGGACTCACACTTGTCCCGAACGCAACGGAAAGCGTGGAATTTCTTGTACAAATCATCGTTAAATACGCATTTGTGCTTCGGTACGTTGCAGACTGACCGAATGTTTGTGTCTCGCTCCTTCTGAGTGCAGAGACACATGTACAGACCCTGTTTGGTCACGCTACGCACAGCAACCTACATTCAGTTTGTCGATTAAAATTAACGTAATCGATGAAATTCTTAATGATCAATTATCGATTAATCGATTAATCATGCCCATCCCTAGTAGGTGGCACCAGACTGGCTAATTGACTCATTTGCAATTACAACCTGGCCAAGAAAAAAAACAGCACAAGAAGAATACAAACTCTCACACATCAATCATAATATGAGACAGTGAGACATTTGTACGTTAAAAATACAAAGCTATTAAAAGTGCTGATCCTGTAAAATACTCTGGACTGGAAATTTTATATGGAAATTCCTATGTTACCACATGAGATTACAAGGTGGAGTGTTTTCTGTTTGAGAGAAGAACTCAGCCTAATTATGCAAAGATTGTGTGTTAAATGTGTGAATGAAACAAAACACAACTCCAGGTCAGTTTGCGATGAGGAAACTACATTATATCACACTAGTGCATCAGACTAGTCACTGGTGTAATCCGGTTTCTTTAAACGATCACTCCTGGACGTCTTCCTACCTGTCCTCTTGAATAATATTTCTCAACGGTTCTCTGTGCTCCGCTTTGCCCAGAGGGGTCTCTCCTCCTGACGTGAAGGTCACACCTGACACATCTCTTTAGTCTGAGGCTCTGGTCATCAGAAAATGCACACTTTCAGTCTGTGCTCCTCCTTCAATTTGTGAAATGCAGGTGGAGTGCGCTTCCAGCAGAAAATAGTGCAAAGTCAATGAGTCTCGTGGCCAACAGGAACGTGGCTCAGGACCAGGTTTATTATTTTAAAATGGTTGTTTTTAGCCATGAGCGAGTCTATTAAGTCCATTATGATGTTAGGAAATGTGCTGATGTGCAATGCACCATCACAGGATTGTATTATATGAGTTTATTGGCTGGACAGACTGTATTGTAATATCATAATGGGATTTTCAGGCTTGTACCAGTTGTGTTGAGTAATGTAGAAAAAAAAAACATTGGTACATGCAGGTACAGATAAATACTGACAAATCATATGAACGGGACAATGTCAGACCTTTTTCCTGAATAGAGGTATTTATTTTTTTACTTCTATTAGAGCTCAGTTACAATTTCACAATTATTCACGATTACTAACACTATTATTGAGACAGTGTCCAGTTCTTGGAAGTGGTTTCGCGTCCTATTTGAATGTTTGTAAATTAGCTTTGGATAAAAACTTGACTGTTATTGACAATAACTACTGCATGAATCCATGGCAAAAGGAAAAATCTAATTTGTCAACTGGACAAAAGTTTATTAAATCGAATACATTTCACAGCTCATCCAAGCTGCTTCTTCAGTTCAGGTCACATGCTGGTGGACACATCCTTATATCTGCCTGAAGGGAAGTATCCACCTAAAAATAAACTTTTGTCCACTTGACAAATTGAATTTCTCCTTTTGCCGTGGATTGTACCTGGACGACTGAGGGATTGTACACACATACTGTATGAATCAAAGAGTAAAGTATCACCAATGTAGCTTGGAACTTGGACACTTGGATCAAGGCTCGGTTCTACTCGAGCAGAGCACTGCCAGTGGTTAACCTAAATGCTAACCAGTAGGGATGGGCATGATTAGTCGATTAATCAGTAATTAATCATTAAGAATTTTGTCGATTACTTAAATTTTTAAACGACAAACCAAATGTAGGATGCTGTGCGTAGCGTAGGGTGACCAAACGTCCATTTTCCACATCCTGTCCTGGCCGTCTGTTTTTTGTTTCTTTTTACCTCCGCCAAGGAGGTTATGTTTTTGCTGGCGTTTGTCTGTTTGTTTGTTTGTTTGTTTGTTTGTTTGTCTGTTAGCAACATAACTCAAAAAGTTATGGACCGATTTTGATGAATTTTTCAGGATTTGTTGGAAGTGTGAAAAGGAAGAACTGATTTCATTTTGGGGGTGATCCGGAAGAAATCCTGGATTCTGGATCACTTTGAAATTTTAGTTAACATTGTGGTAAATGGGGCCAAAAATTTTGTTTCTCAATATCTCGTTTAATTATTGACCAAACCCCATGAAATTTGACTCAGGGATGGACAATCGGATCCTCTTTCATATTCCAAATTGAAAGATACGAGACAAATATTTATGGAAAACACAATTAATATGAGGGGGACTGTAGTCCTTGGCGGAGGTCTGCGCTCTCTGAGTGCTTTTCTAGTTTTAAATAAAGTGATGCAAATGTCCGGGTTTTCATTACCTTTCATTGGGCCATTAAATTGAGCATCTCTCGTAGCTCTCTCTGGACTCAGAAGGAGCAAGCAGACACAAACAGTTGGTCAGTCTGCAACACGCCGAAGCGCAAATGCACATTTAACGATGACTTGTACAAGAAATTCCCCGCTTTTTGTCCCGGTTGAGACAAGTGTGAGGCCATGTGCACAGTGTACAAAGCAGCACATATGTTTCAGTGTCCAGTGGGGGTGCCAGGGACCTCAAAGCTCACCAGGACACTGAAAAACATTAAAAAGCTTTGCCAGATGAGAGTAGCTCAATGTCGATGACGAGGCCCTACCTCCCACCCCCCGTACGGTGTCCTGGTTTTGACAAATGCAAATATGGTCACACTAACATGTATTCCACCGAGTCGTGTCCTTTAGTCCGACAGAATTTGAACCGCATCACAGCACAAGAGCTGTTTTTTCTTCTCTTAGTTTATGCAAATGAGCCATGCGGTTTTAAGTTTCATTTCTGTGAGAGTTGCGCAAATCTGCATTAAACACATACTAATGTCAAAACAGGCTGATGTGGCTCTTGAGTGGTTACGGTTTATATGTCGTAAAGTTGAATTTATTTATGCAGATTAGTAGTGCAGATAGTAATAATAATGATGATAATTTTAATATAAAAACGTTAATGATTAATTGAAAATCGATCCTTAATTCTCCTGACGATCGATTAAGAAAATTTAATTGAAAGCCCATCCCTACAAACCAGTTACCTACCTGTGTTTACCTTAAAATATCACAGAGAAAAAGCCCAGTGACAGAGGATACTCTTGACCTCAGTAAGCAGAAGCTGTGGCTACAATTACGGATCAGCAGACACAACCAAAAGAAACAGATGAGGATGATGCCACAGAAATCAGGAAGTCACTCCACTCTGATGGAGAAGACAGCTGCTGCAGCAAAACAGAACTCTCCAGCTGATGGAGAAGGTGAAACGGCTGAGGATCTTAAACACGGACAAGGATAAAAACTTGCAGACTTGGAGAGGAGAGTGGAAAGTTGACGATTTGAAGCAGTACTCCAGACTGAATAACCTCATCATTACTGGGCTCAAAATCAAGCGGTTTCTGTCCACCTTCATCTTAAAACAGTCATTTGAAGACATTAAGGAGCAGATTTTAGGAAGAGAGAAGGGCTGATTTGAGAAACAGATGAAGGGAGCTTCTGTGAAAAGTGAAAGTGCGAATCCCTCTTTGAACAGAAATGGGGGATTGAGACTTAAATTACCAGCTGTCTGCAGGAGCATCTTCACGCTGTGGACTAGTGAGAGATCAAGCCAATCAAATGCTAATTAGGTTCTCAACGGTGGAGAAGGTGAGTCAGTGAAATTTTAGTAGTGGGGAGTTTGACTTTAATGTTCCTCCATTTGGGTCAGGACTTATTTAACTCAGTGTGGTGTAAATCCTGGTGTCTCAGGCCAGTAACAGAAACTAAAATAGTTTCTGGATGAGAGCAG